AGAGAGAGAGAGGCATAACCTCCCTTTGTCAACCAGGCTGGAGTGCAGTGGTGTGATCATGGCTTGCTGCAGCCTGAACCTCCCAGACTCAAGAGATTCTCCCCTCTAAGCTTCAGGAGTAGCTAGTACTACAGGTTGGTGCCACCATATTCTGCCATATATCTAACATAGACATGGATTTAAGCTAGAATCACTTTTTATTGCCCAGGCTGGCCTGCTACTGTTTTTCTTTCTTTTTTTTAATCAGGCAGCCTCCAGAGCCAGAGTAGGCTCATACTCCCTATTAATGTTTTTCAAAAAATGATTGCATAAGGTGAGATCCTGTGGTCTTGATTTCAGACAAATGAGGTAACAAATTTCATTATTTAATCAAATATGATAATGAATGTTAAATATTTTATACAACTCAAAACATATGGAGCTTTTCTGGAAGTAATCAGGTAAGACCTAAACTGATCTCATTAACCATGTGTTTCTTGTGGCTGGCAGCCACGGCTCATGCCTATTATCCCAACACTTTGGGAGGGGGAGGTGGGAGGGTCTCTGGAGCCTAAGAGTTCAAGTTCAGCCTGGGCAACATGACAAGATCCCATCTATACAAAAAATAAAATTTAAAAAAATTAGCCAGACATACTAGCATGGTGGTCCCAGCTACTCAGGAGGTGGAGGTGGAAGGATCCTTTGAGCTCAAGAGGTCACAGTTGCAGTGATCTGTGATCATGCCACTGCACTCCAGCTTCAGCAACAGAGCAAGACCCCGCCTCAGAAAAAAAAAGAAAAAAAAATTTACATTTCACAAAGTGTTGGGAAAAAGGAATGTGGGAATGCATTATCTATATTTTAATTATCTGTATTCTACTTCAATATCTCAATCAGTCCAGTGTGATTATGGAGTAATCTAAAATATGTTGCATTATCAAAGAGTTTCTAATCAAGGCTGTGTTAAACGGCATCTGCAGGAATTCCTTCTTCTCTTGGGTGTGTATAGGTGTCTCTGCCAGTCTTGTTTTTTTTGTTGTTGTTGGTTTTTTTTTGAGACAGAGTCTTGCTCTGTTGGCCAGGCTGGAGTACAGTGGCACCATCTCAGCTCACTGCAACCTACATCTTCTGGGCTCAAGTAGCTATCCTGCCTCAGCCTCCCAAGTAGCTTGGATTACAGGCATGTGCCACCACGCCCAGCCAATTTATATATATATATATTTTTTTTTTTTTAATATGGAAAGCTTCACGAATTTGCATGTCATCCTTGCGCAGGGGCCATGCTAATCTTCCCTGTATCATTCCAATTTTAATATATGTGCTGCCGAAGTGAGCACTATTTTTTATTTTATTTTGTTTTTATTTTTTTTTTAAAGACGAGGTTTCACCATGTTGGTCAGGCTGGTTTTCAACTCCCGACCTCAGGTGATCTACCCGCCTTGGCCTCCAAAGTGCTTGGATTACAGGCATGAGCCACCATGCCCGGCCATTTTTATATTTTTAGTAGAGATGGGATTTCACCATTTTCGCCAAGCTGGTCTCAAACCCCTGACCTCAGATAATCTGCCCATCATGGCCTCCCAAAGTGCTGGGATTACAGGCAGGAGTCACCACACCCACCTATCTCTGCCAGTCTTCTAATCCTACTGGCTTGTTCAACATCTTTTAGAACAAGCTTGTCCAACCATGGCCTAGGGGCTACATGTGGCTTTGAATGCAGCCCAACACAAATTCATAAACTTTCTTAAAACTTTATCAAAAAAATTTTTTTTTTTTTGCGATTTAAAAAAAGGTCATCAGCTATCTTCAGTGTTAGTGTATTTTATGTGTGTCACAAGACAATTCTTCTTCCAATGTGACCCAGGGGACCAAAAGAACCCCTATTCTAGATATTCCTCAGTTTCTGGCCATAGAAGACATTCTTTGAATATGTATACTTATTCTGTCATTTCAAAAGGATTTAGGGAGCCAGGTGTGGTGGCTCATGCCTGTAATCCCAGCACCTTGGGAGGCCAAGGCCAGCAGATCACCTGAGGTCAGGAGTTCAAGACCAGCCTGACCAACATGGAGAAACCCCCATCTACTAAAAATACATAATTAGCCAGACGTGGTGGTGGGAGCCTGTAATCCTCCTGCTGAGGCAGGAGAATCACTTGAACCTGGGAGGCAGAGGTTGCAGTGAACCGAGATTACAACCATTGCACTCCAGCTTGGGCAAAAAGAGCGAAGCTTTGTCACAAAAAAAAAAAAAAAAAAAAAAAAAAAAAAAAAAAATCACTGTATCATC